CCCTAGGTAGGCTCTCCGTGTCCACCAACCTGGTTAAAGCGCCGGACATTCGCCTTTCGCCCCGTTAATTTCGTAAACAACACCCCCGCCACGAGAAGGCAGTGAGTAGGACTTCCCTGCCAGAGGCTATATACGCGTGGCAATGTGAGAGCATTTGAAGAGGGAGAGCGGACTCTCCTCACTCTCGGCCGTACCAGGGCATTCGGGGGCCCCGGAGACATAAGTTTGCTGTCCTATAAGCGATCTTTGTGCTTATTTGGACAGCGTCAATGGAATTCATTGTGTGTGAGGTGTTTTCACCCCTATGACCAGAGCACAACAACACTTCTCCTGAAGCTAGTGTATCCTGCTCACACTGTGTCTAGTGAGTTTCACTTATTCAAGACATGATCAGGTTGCATTATCCCATTTCTGTGGCTATTCTGATGACTCTCCCCTCCTCCCACACTGCTAAGATATTATATTTCACGTACACATATTAATTGTTGATCTGGTTACCAGGAAGTGCGCTGGCCTCGAGACTTCCAGAGAATTGGCTTTTACCATGACGTGTTATCTGAAGACCGTTCAACTCCTAGGGTAAAACTTAAACGGTTTTTTATGGTTAGCGTTTTTTGGTGAGATTGTTTTTATAAAGTGAGGTTGTTAGCCGTACATCTGAGCCTCGTACTTAAACGACAAAATCCAATTTCACATTTTTTTCTAGCAAATTAGTATTTCGTAACTTTTCTGTATATTTTTGCAACATTTAGGGCCAAATAAGTCCAGAAAACATCAGAAAAAACACAAGGAGAGAAAAAGTAAACATAAGAAGCACCACTCAAGACATTAACCATTGCAGCAAATTTTCGTTTTTGTTATTGTATATTATTCTTCATGATGCCCAATTTTTATTAACTATGAACTCATCATTTTTTGTATAGTTTGACTTTTGTTATAATTGTTGAAATGTAATTAACCGCAAGATCGCCACCTAATTACTTAGACCAAACCGTTATGACCATTGAGTAAAACAGTTATATGGCCAATCAGTCACATGCGTGTTTTTTTAATGAACTTTGTTTATAATTATTTTTGATAGTTATTGTCACGTCGAAAAATGTTTATAAGGATGAACTGAACATACTGTTTCCCAATTTTTGACGGTCCATGGCAGTGAAACACAAGACGCAGGTTGCTTCTAATTTGAAACTCTTCATCTATGTGCACCTGTAATCTTACATTTAGGTTCTTGGTGAGGTAATAATCTATTACTTTGAAAGTCAGGTTACTGATTCACAAAGCCACCAATTGTCTAGTAAGATAAATATTTGTAAATTACTATTAGTCAAAGAATCCGTATTTCATCACAATATTTTGAAGAGGTATTAAGTCTGAGCTGGTGCTTTCTTCACTACCCAGCGTATTCCCAGTTGCAAGGCTTTATATTCGTTTGTTCAAATGGTAGGTTGGATTAGATTTAAAAGTAGATATTCAGATATTCGTTTATAAAGGTTCTCGTCCTTCAATATGACCAATTATAATAGAGAGGTTTTTTTCTACAAGGCGTCTGTTGACATAAGTCCATTATATAAGTGCTTGTCCTGACCTCCTACTTAGTGCTATGCCTATACTCGCTATTCCAGGAGAACGTGTCGTCTGTTCGCCAGATAAAAGGAGAATGTATCTCGTCGGCTCTCTGTTTTGGCAACGTAAGGTCGAGTGAATGACCACACTAGGATCTTGTATACGTGTTTCGAAGGCATACCATACATCAATGGTACGAGATTCTAGAGTCTTAACTAAGAAGGCCTACTGGCCGATTTGAAACAGAGTACGTACGTTGAAGGATCCAATGTGGTTTGGAGTGAGATTACAGCAGACCTGGGACAGTATTTCGAGCACTAGGATCGTTGGCCATGGTGACACTTGAGGTGGATGTCGAAGGAGGAGTTTGAAGGTGATAGTCGAGGTAGGAGGAATAATAGGAATTAAGGAGGGAAATTGATTATGAATACAGTGATCTTGAGAGCTGTTAGAGGTATGTCAGCAGTTATCACTTCCCGGTTACTCACATCGTGGAAAGGTTCTTCTAGAGGTACCTGTGAAGGAAATTGGGTTAGAGTTGGTCTTAGTGACCTGAGAGAGTGACCACAGTGCACAAGGGACGACAGCTTGAAGCCGGTCACACACGACTTTTTGTGGGTAATTTTTGCGTTAGCTCCGTACTTGCTGAGACCTTACCGCCTGAGATGGAAATCCGTAAGATAAAATGAGGTGTGCATTTTTAGGGCCGACCTTTTCCAACCCCACCCCTCCATGTGGGAAGGCAGCATCGCTGCAGATGTTGATTGTCCGAGGGAAGCATCTTACTGCCGTCACACCTCTGTACATGACCGACTTTACCTTCGGACATTGGGTTCGCTGCTTTCAGTCTTACCGTTCTTCAAACAACCAGCCTGGCATGGTAGGACCTTGAGGACCGATTGTTCCATCCAGTATAGCCTGGTTGATTAATCACGATAGGCAAGCCCAACCACCAAGTCAAGCAGCAGCAACAGTTGGGGGTGCTATAATTAATAACAGAATTTTCGTTATAGGTTATCACCGAGAGCTTTTATCACTTCTGATAATACTATATAGTATTAGTATTTTGTTTTTCATCTAAACAGCACTCAATGTTGTATCTTTGGAAGTTGAAATAAGATACGGCTTTATGAGGTTTTTTTTCTCATTTTTGACCTGGATTGGGCATCATTTAACATTATTTTAAGTATTAGTCAAATTGTCATATAACGCAAATTATCATTAGGTGTTTTGTATATTATCTAAATATTACAGAAGTTTAGGTAGTCTGGAAAATATTTACGCACTACCAGAAATATAGGTTCTTCATCTTCTAGGTTTAGTATTTTCGAACCTGACTTGTCGAATTCGGAGTTTCTTATGTGTTGGATATAAATATTGTGCTTCTGGTTAACAGGTGGTGAAATTGTATTTTAATCCACAACGAAGCAGTAAAATGTATTATGCCTAAATAACTAACTCATTTTTCTGCCTTCAAAATGTAAACCACTAAGTGTATTCCTATCGAGAAATTTTTTATTGAAACAAACTACTAGATTTTTATTAAAGGCACAAACTCTCTAGATATTCAAGTAGGGAACAGTAAAATTTCGTTTCAATAATGTGTTTGATATAACTTCAAAAAAGATCGTAGTGTGAATGTCGTCTGCTAGACTGTAATCAGTTATGGAAGTCATTATAGGACTGGGGATTTCGGCTGCTTCAGTCTATTGATGGTGCAATGTAAAATTGTAAACACTACCACTAAAAAATGCTCATATTATGCATTCTGTGTTAATTCCTATTTCAAATACTTGTTCTACTACATATCAGTAGTTTACATCTATGTCCATAGTGTATAAGGTCTCCGAAGTACTTTCAGTCAACACGCTTTTGTTTAATATTGTTATACTTAGAATAAGACTCAAGCAACCAGCTGCTCACATATTAGCTTAAAACCAACACTATGAGTTTAAACTGGTGTGTTTTCTCGGTGTTATTGTAAAGTCATTGAATGAAGATTCGGCTTCAAATGATGATAAATCAGCTACTTAGAAGTCATCTGTTTACCATATGAAGATGAAAAATATTTTTCAAGGTATATCAATCGTACAATTTCCATTGCAATTAAGCAGTCCTGTTATAGTGTAGGTTTAGAATTAATTACTTTATAATGACAATTACTAAGCTGTGTGCTCATAATGACTATGAAGATGACAAGCCTTTTCAACTTGAAATGCAATATTTACCGATGATATATTATAAAAGGTCTGAGATATTACGATGTTGAACCCTAGATTCTGACTCATTTGTCCCTTTTAGCACTTGAGGGTTGTGTTTATACATTGTTTGTAAATCTTAACCTAGAGTTCAACTTCGGTCATGTCTTCTTTATATTTCAGTCCTTCAGGTGTCTGTTCGTGGTTAACTGGATTCGGAAGAAAACAATTTTCACTTCTCTTTGGTTTAAACCATTAGTTTCCAAACTACGCAATCATTTGGTTTCGTTCTAATGAACTAAAAGATCGTATAGCTTAGTACATCTTATTTTCATATTTACCAGCTATTTTGTTAAGAATAGACATCTGCTAATATTTCAATACACTACTTGCAACATTAGAGGGAATTATTTTACAACATAGGATGACTGAATGTCAATCAGTCAAGTTTGGTTAGCGTAGAAGTATTACATATTAATGTTCACGCGAAATCTAGTCACCGCATTCCTTCGTAAAGTTGTACTGATGACAACGTCTTGCATCACAGGGAAGCTACCAATTTATGTAAAATAAGATCTTACTACTAGCACGTAGTCAGTATTATCTCAATTTTATGAAAAATTTAAAAAACATCTATGTTTGTAAATAACAGGAATACAAGTTTAAATGGTACTTATATAGTGAATGTCGACAACTACTTAAAGTGTAGACGTATCACCAATTTCAAGTTTAACAGTATGAGTCATCATCATCTTAAAAAAAAACTTTCACTTCTAGTCATAAATATTCACATAAGATTAGCATGATGTTTTTAAACGGAACACAAAAAATAAGGATCAAAATGAAATCATCAAAGAGCATCAACCATCAAAATAAACATCATTATTCGGAATGTACAGTACGTATATTTAAAAGTGTCATAATATTTGTAAATTTGATTCAGTAGAGAAGTAAATAACCCAACTAATCCCGTCATCTCTTTAACTATCTCACAAAACATTTTATAGTTAAAGCAAAAATTAATAGCTTTGATAAAGTGTGAGTTTATCGCATGAATAAATGTATACATTCACTTGTATTTAGATAATATATGTATATAGGAATAGAGTTTTCTGTTCTGGACAATGACGAAAACAACATAGGACTTGACTCTCAATGTTCGTGTTGTAATTGTGGTGGAATCGACAGAATTTAATTAAAAAGGTTTTACTTTATAAAAATAAATGATACGAAGAATTATGAAGAAAATGATGATGTTTGATTCAAAATATCGATTGCTGAATTATGTCTTGGATTGATTGAATCATGTTCGATTTGCTTAAATAATGACTTACCACCATTTAGATTAGCGTTACTATTGTTTGCATCGAAACGATGCGTAGATTTGGACAAAAGCAATTTTAAACCATTCAGAGATCTTCCGAACACTGGAGGTTTATTCGTATTTATATTATTAATGCTGTTTAAATTAAAATTCCCTGGTGAACTTAAAGTTGTATCGATAAAACGGATTTCTGGTTTGGCTGCAGTATAACTATTAAGTGTAGAAGGATCTATAATGGCAGTTTGATCAGTTGTACTACAATTAAAATTAATGTTATCCCCATCATGATTTAAAGTTGGTTGTGGAGGAGGTGATGAATAACGATTATACTTTGGCCTGATAGGCCATGAAGCATACAAACTAGGTGGATAATTAATTTGTTTGGAATATTCATTATCATAGCCATTTACAGCTTTTCCAATTGTTGTTACCCCATTTTCATTGCTCCAACTGAATGGATATTTTGGTGATGTTTTAAAGTTTACATTGGTTTCTCCTGGAGTAGCTCCACTTGAACTTATATAACCTGGTACACGTTTGCATTGCACTAATGAAGTTGAGGATTCTGAGTAAGGGTATTCGATGTAAGTATTTCTATCAAGATTGAAAGAAACTTGATACGGTTTTCTCTTAATTGGTGATGGGGAAGATGAACAAAGACGAAGATTAGAATTTGACCCAATCATATTAATGTTTTCATTGTAGCTTCTAGAGGGTAACATCACAGAATCTAAGAAAAAAATAATGTGGCGAAGTTAGCGTATCATATTTTTATACCGTTTATTTCGTAATGTTAAGAATTTAAAGCACTAAAACGTGCAAAGAAATTTAGATTTTTTGTAGTTTTACTGTTTGAATACCTTAAATACTTCTGTTTTTAAATGAAGAATTTCCATCGAAGAATAACTTGGAGAAACTTACTAATGGATATTATGATAAATGTTTACTTCATGTACTTGGATGATGACGAAAACATCAACCACCCAACCACATTTACTAATCTACATAAAAGATAATCAGATATTTACCTGTAAATGTATATAATGTAAATGAATGTTCCTTTCATTGAACAATGGACTTATTGTTGGCAAAATAAATCCTTAACCGGGTGCAGGTTGTGAGAAGCAGTTAAACTCTTAACGTGTTTTCAGAGATTTTATTACAGTCGGATTGCGACTAGCAGTGGAATATAGAATGAGCACCTCGTCTTATCTGGGGTTCGTCTTCTTGCTGTACCGGCGTTACTATTTTTATGTTAACACTGATAACTGAACTTATTACTTTACAAAACTACCGAATCCAGATAATATATAGTCATTAGTTTTATATTTACATTACCTTATCTATGGATTTCAGATATCACTGAGTACTACAATATGACAGTATGTGAAAGTCACAGAATAAATTCTTAATAACAGCAAACATGACGAAATAGATTTGAAGTTTTTCTTAGTATACTTGAGGTTATTAATGCATAATTGTTGATTTCATTTAAGATTGTACAAATTTTATCATTACATGTAGTAGCTATTATATGGTTAATATTCAGCATCCCCAATTTTTTGATAATTGACTATGTTGTCTCATATAACTGTAGGAATAAGGATTGACATATTCCATTATTTTCGATTCCCGCTTATACTCATTATTTGAGGGTATTATTAATTCTGAAAAGAGATTAACTGAAGAACCGTTAAAAGCTATGTTTTGCTGTAGTTAAAGACACTATAATAGTATATGTTCAGAATCCTTCAAGGAATCTAAATCAAGACCCACAGTTCTTACAGCAATCACAATACTTTTAAGTCAAAAATCTGAATTTAGTGGATTAAATTCTTAACTTTAGTCAATTTAAGATCCACTACCCTCTTTATCCAATGACATCAACGAATTATTGTCTTCTAACTTCATAAATTTCACGAATAATATTTTTCAATTAGAATACTGGGAATTCTATCTTTAGGTTAGTCACCTGTGTACACATGATATCAGTTCGTGTGTCATTTAATAAACCTCGAAATATTCATAGATGTAGTTAATAGATTACATAGTGAAAAACTTAAATATGGGAAATAAGATAAACTAATCATGGATTCTGTGTTGCTTTTTTGGAATGTCAGTCCTCCATTTTTGATATTTTTAGCCTCTTGATATTCAACAGATTTGCTTACAATACTAATGTAGGCAACAGTATCAACTGTAAATCGCAAAGGTTTTATAAATTGAATGTTGAGTTAAAAATGTACAAATAAACAGAAAGTAAACAGGTTTATAATGTTAAAATGTTCTGAAATTAATCACTTATGTGATTTATTTAATTATCAAGTGTTGTGTGTTTAGTGTGAATTCAATATCTAAAAAAATTGAAAACAATTTCCCATGGCGATTTTCAACATGAGTTTCTAGTGATTGAATAAACACTGAATACTATACAATATTAGTTAACTGTAACACAAATCACCTTAGAATGAAGATGAAACTGTAAAACTGACAGGTGACCGAGTTCAGCTTATGGTCAATAAATTTGTTACCAATGCTCAGACAATAACTTTCGAACATGAACAATGGACTATAAAATTGAATTAAGGAATTTTGATATAAATTGATGTAATTTATAAGGTTCGACAGGATATTTAATCAGCAAAACTACTTTGCTTAAAACGTGGATAGTGTGAGAAATAAGGAACTGTACATTGTACTTTTGGAGGATTTTTAATTGACTGGCGTTGTGTTGCCTAAGTTGCAAGGTTTAACTTTGAAACTTTCATTGTCTTTCTGGGTAACACCATCCGCATATACCTGAAAGAAAAGTGAAGTATTAGAATCTCTTAACTACTGACTAACCACCTGTTCTTTTGACCTGCCATTCGATTGGTTACTGTTCACAATTATATGGCCGTTGTTTGAATGTTTATTTTGGTTATTTTCTCTCTTAACATGACCTCCGAGATTGAAATTGTTGATCTTTATTCTATTGAATCGATCCAGATATATCTAATTGGTCGATGATTGAGTAGAGTGACAGTCTTCCAAGAATCCCCCGGTTTTCCTTGTCTTTTCTACCTCCAGTATTTCGACGTTTTCCCGATTGAACTCATAACTGAAGCTGTCCATATGCACTTATCTTAGCAAAGATATATTGGGGCGTTTAATAGGCAACCAGCATTAATGTAGACATAGATGCTGAGAACAGCCATTTTGTTCTATGCAGTCTTTTGAGCCGCCGCTTAAATTTACCTTGCATATGATGCTTGAATTTTTCGTTTGTCGTTGTGTCCTCTGGTATGCATAATACTTATTACTTATTGACGTATCTCCCATAGTTTAGAAAGCATCATCTGTTTACCTTGTATTCACACTTAGGAAAGGACATTTTACTTATAGTTGTACTTTTCATAAATAGGTGATAGATTATTGAAAAGAATGTATTCTTATCTCCTAGATACTTTGTGGAAAATAAATAAATTTATCAGAGGTGATCATTGTATACAAACTTCGTAATGGTGAATGCACCTAAAATGTTCTTTTTTTTAAAAAAAAGTCAACAATAATACGTCAATTAAGGAGTAATAGGAGATATTAAAATAACCGGTTGATTAAATTAATCGTTGTTAAAGATTTAGCTTAGAATATAAGTTACTGAAGTTTGGTAGCATGTATTTTACTCACTAAATCTACATCAAATTTTATGAACTACTTAATGGATTGAAGAATGTGAACTGGCATTATAAATGAGTATATTTCATCAACTAGAAATAATTGTTTCTTCCCATTACTATTATTATATTATTGTTAGGACATATTGGAAAACTACTCACGACTAGGAAATAATCAACACTGATTAACAGTTTGTGCCAACAAATTTGTATGCAATTTTTCCTTTCTCAAATTCAGTGTGTCATTTTCATGGTATTGTCTAACAGACAACAGTTTCTTCAGTAAATCACTCTTACTGTTTATATTTCAATTGCTTTAAGAATAAAAATCAATTAAATTTTTTCAGGCGGCTGGTTTCTAAAGAATTTCGGCAAACTTTAAGGGAGTAATCAGCCTGAGAAACAATGATAGATACAATTCAATTAGCTCAGGAATGAGGTGGTTACGTATAACTAAAGTCACGCTGTATCACAAACTGGGTGAACTTGAAGATCTATATCTAAAGTGACGTTATGGTTGTAGTGAGTGTATGCCACTAAGAAGTTCCAAATTATTGAGAAACAATTCTTCGCCGATAATTGGTTTTAGTCATTCTTCTGGAAACATCATTTTGGGATGAGAACTGATTTTCAGACCTTATTTCGTTTAATTAACACGTTCTACACTTTCCTAGGCTTTCAAAATTTGCACAACTAACTTATTGTGCACTCAGTATTTATAATAAGTGCCCCATCCATCATTATCTTTGTATTCTTTTTATTTTCAATAGTATTCTAGTCACTTGACAAAAAATATTGACAAATGATATTGCTCAATATTTATGACACTACTTATGAGATAGAAAACAAACTACGAAACAGCATGACATACAAAACTAAGTGATTTGCTACATTGTAAGTTAATATGAGTTTTTTAATTGATATGGCTTAAACATACTAACACACGTAGTATTCCATAAAGCATCTATGGTCTCAGTCAATAGAATATGAAGCAACACAATAGTACGTAGTATGGGAAAAAGAAAGAATTCTCGATTTATGAAGCAAATTGAATTAAATAGGAATTTTAAGCACTTATGTATTGGATAATCAATATAATATTGGACGTAAACGTAGATATTAATATTTTTGGAAATAAATAAACCTTGAAACGTATATTATCATTATTGTTATTGGTAATTAAACAAAACAGAAAAAGCCTAAACCACAGCAGGGCTCTGATCAACAATATATATAAATCCACAGGAGTCTTAAATGATTGATCCATGCACTTCAGCATCAAATTAATTGAATCATGTTTTTCACTTACTGTGGTTAATAAATGTGTTCGATTCTATGATTAAAGAGGTTCACTGATTTGTGAACGATCTTAATTTAATTAAATAGGAATAATTTATTTGTAAAATCTCAGCGAATGAATTTGTAGTAAATCCAACGTTTCGCCTGGCAGTCTGGTCCGAGCTTTTTCAAGGAATTATCCTTGATCAGATTGCCAGGCGAAACGTTGGATTTACTACAAATTCATTCGCTGAGATTTTACAAATATATTATTCCTATTTAATGTCTTACATCAACTCGGCGCTCAAATACTGTGAAACTATTCGCTCTAATTTAGACGAGAGTTCTTATAGATTTTAATTTAATATAGAATAAACTGACACCTTTATACCTTTTACCGTAACACTTATTAATGCTTTTTCTACGGTCTAGTTACCTTAGATATGTGGTTTGAATAAAGTATAGGCCTAACATTATATGTTCTTTAGAATTTATGAAGTAAGAGATAAAAGATAAAGTTTGTGTCTTTTTAGCCAAATAATTAACAAAGATTATTTTTGTAGTTCGAAATTAAATACTTAATATTTTTTGAACATGAATACATTTCGGACGGAATGTTTTCAAAAAATCTGGTCAGAAAACCAAAATTTGTAACAGTCTCAATAAATAATAGTGTACCCACCAGTGAATAGTTTTGAGATGGATTTTATAACGTCCAATTGAAAGGTGTCAGCAAGTGAGATAGGTCAAGTCTCGAGTAAGCCAGTTATTTGTTTTTAATACAAAATACAGACTA